CCTTTTCCGGCTTCCGCTTCCTCAAGCCCCTTCAGTCTGAATCCTCAGCGATCACTGATACAAGATAACACTTTAGGATCAATTCTCATTCCTAAAGCAATCCAATCTCACTTATGTACCAAGATTTGTAATTAGTGTGCCCTAATCCATTTTCATGTTTCAAATTCCATTCCAAGGGTTTTAATGTCAAATCAGGGATTAAAGATGTTAATCCTTTCATCCCAAGTCCCCAAATGAAGCTAATTTGGGGTTTCCCCGAAAATAGGGGTCAAAATAACACTTTTCAGGCCAAACAGGGTCAAACCCGTGTCCACCGGTCAACCGGTGACAGAGCAGTACAACACTACCGGTCGACCGGTAATGTGCACACCGGTCGACCGAACCGTTCGACCAGTCAGCCTGCAATCCGGTCGACCGCACAGGTCGACCAGTGGAATCGACTGCGTGAGAGAAGCTCGAGGAAATCAGTCCAAAAACCTGCAAATCCAGTCCCAAATCCAAATATTTCAAAGGAAAACCACTAGATCCGGGTTCTAGATCCTAAAACAAGTCCAAAGAACCCAAGATCTCCAATTTCTACTCTAGTTTTACTCAAAATCATCAAAAATCCGGTTTGAACCAAAATAAGTTTTGAAATCCGAAAAACATAGATTCAAGAGAGTTCATTCAGTAATCTTACCTCGAATCTTCTCTTGGCGTTGAAAACTCTTTGAAATCACTCTTGGTTCGAATCCGGTTTTGATTTGAGACACAAATGGGAGAGAGAGGGGGAGAGAGAGAGCACGGAAGAGAGAGAGAAAGAGAGTGTGTGAATGCACGGGAAGGAAGAGAAAAGGAAAAGAAAAAGAAGAAAATGAAAGAAAAGACATATGGCAAAATATTTAAAATGACAGTCCAGAAATGCGCCCATACACACTTCTGGTTTAAAAATAAAATTACTCAGAATATTTAAATACCTTGGAATTATTTAAATTTACACGTGTCAGAAACATTTATTAATTAAACTCAATTAATAATCCAGATTAGGCACACTAATAATCTTAATTACCTTAATTAATCTCAATTAATTCTTCAGGGTGTTGCATTACTAATGCTAAATTGTAGTGATTTAATTTAAATTATATAATTTGAATTGTGATAATTTAAACTGTCATTTAAATTGTGTTCAAGGGTTCAAATTGATGTTTAAAATTTATTTTGAGGCACATTTTTATTTGTTAAATCTGGTTAAATAAATTACATAAAAATAAATTCTTATAAAAAATGTGCATAATATATAGTTTTTTATACAAATCTAATTAGTAAAATAAAGACTTTATTAACAATTCATTTTTTATAGATATTACCGTAGAAATCACCTTGCTCGTTTTTTTTTTAAGCTTTGGAACAAATGATTTCTGAACTTTTGCAATAACTACAGTTAGGTTAGACAGGTTACTTTCTATTATTTTAATTTTAATAATTAAATCTTCTTTTGAGATGAATAATATTTTGTTATATTAGATAAATAATAATGAAATTATTAAACTATTAATTTATTAGTGAACGATGCAAAAATTTAATCCCGGAGTAAAATTATAATTAGCTATTTTATTACATATTACTATATTTTACTATTTTATGATGGATCCACCTGTAGGTATTTTTTATCTGATAGATTTGAATATTTTATCTTTATTATAGATGAATAATTTTTAACATTAGATGTTGTACTTATGTTATGAATTTAGTATTTCTTTTTTTAGTTATAGATATTTATGATTGAGTAATAAATGAATGTTTATTGAAGTTTTGGCTCTAATTATGGTTGAGAATAGATTGATTAATATTATTTCAAACCAATTAAAAAAAATCGAACCAAACCAAATCGAACCAAATAGAACCAATGAATTAATAATTTGTTTACTCCGACAAACCTTTTATGGGATTGGACCCACTAAATAATTTAAAATGAAATCTATACTACTTTTTTTTTTTTTTTTTTAAAATCAACAATCACCTGCTATAGATGTCACGTTACTTTTTACTTTTCTTTTCTTAGAGGGAAGTTTGGTACAGATAATCTCAAAAGTGGCAAATTAAGTGTGATCTTTTTTAAAATTTGGAAAATTAAGTGTGCGTTTAGTTGATGGATTCGTATCATGATTCAGATCATAATTCGTGATTTATTACAGTATTTTTTCTCACAAAAAATACACGTAAATTGAGAATAGTTATGAATCATAATTCTGAATCTATAAACCAAATGTCCACTAAAACTCATGAGTTTTAGATTACCACATTTTAAAATCAGCATAAATCTACGAAGGTGGTTAATCAAAAATTGTTTAGGTTTCTTGTCTTTTTTTCTCTTACTAATACTAGTCTAAAGCGCACACTCCGAGTAGGGTTGGTGATTCCAATTGGGGTTAGGATGTTGCAAAAATTAAGAATGTCTTTTGGCCGGTTGATTGGGATGACATTTTGAGTATTCCGCTCGGTTATGTTAGAAGGCCAGATTCTTACGCTTGGCATTTTTTGTATGGTTTTGTGGAGCATTTGAGTTGATAGAAAATGCGATGGTGTTTGATGGGCGTTTGGGTGACGTTCGGGGTTCTTTGGAACGTGCTGGACGCATAATAGGAGATTATCAAATGGCTAACATGTTGAATAAGGGTCCGTTTAGTTAGCTGTTTTGAGTTTTTAATTTGAGTTGAGATATGACTTTATGTAAGAGTTTTTTACTGCAATAAAAAAGTTAAATGTGACTATTTTTTAAAGTTTTTTACTGTAATAAAACTTGAATTTTAAACTCAAATCAGTAAGATAAACAGAACCTAAGTCTCAAAACGGAGCTACACGATGGAATGAAGTGAAAGTGAATGTTGATGCGACAATCAAAAACCATCTTCCTTTCATTGGGGTGGGTATTTTAATTGGTGATGCTGCAGGTTGTGTCCTTAGAGCTGCAGCAATTCGTATTGATGGTAAGTACTCTTCCCCTGTAGCTGAATGTTTAGCACTTCGCGAGGGGTTGGAGAAGTTAGTAGGGGTGGTTTTGCTAATTGGGCAATTGATTCGGATAGTGTCCGTTTAGTTTACTGATTTGAGTTTTTAATTTAAGTTAAGATGTAATTTTATATGATAGTTTTTTACTGTAGTAAAAAAATTAGATGTGATTATTTTTTAAAAATTTTTAGTAACAAAACTTAAATAGTGAAATGAAAATTGTTAATGTTGTTTGAGAACCGAGTTCGAGAGCCATCGAAGTTTCTATAATTGATGATGTCAAAGAAGCTATGTCTCACGCTATTAGTGGATTTGTTAGCTACACTCCCCAGCAAGGGAATTCTGTAACCCACTGTTTTGGCTAACTATGAGCTTGTTCTTTTGAGTGAAAAATTTAAAAAAAGACAATTCGAGTTACAACTTTATTTGAATTCATATTCTTTTAAGTTTAAACTCGAGTTTAAATTCGAGTTTAGGACTAAAACTCGAGTTCAAGTTTCCCTTTCAACTCGAGTTCAGAAACTCGAACTCAAATTAATGAACAGTATTTTTCTATTCTTAAAAATGCTATAACTTTTTCGTTTTAATTCTGATTGAAATGATTTTTTTTCTATGCGTTGACAACAAAAAAATGAATAAAACCCGACCTATATACCCTATTAAAATTTTTCATCAGCATTAAATTTTTATTAAAATACTATCTAAATATAAATTTAAG